CAAAAGAAAAGAAAATCCCTCACTGATCTTGACTGAATCACTTTTGTAACCTCAGTTTATATTTTATTTGCCTGTTGTTCAGCGCTGACTGAACTGCCCTAATGGCAACGTGCATCTGTGTATGCGATTATTTTGGAGATGCGTTCCAATATAAATTAGCCTATTCTTATTTAGGGTATAGGCCTATTCTATTTTGATCTGCATTTTAATAAAAGTTAAACAGAAAAAATACAAATAGTAGCACTGCATGTGTTTCTGAATATTTAAACAGACTGTATAATGATGAAAAACCACAAACATGACAGTTTTAATTCAAATACGCAAATTTTCAGCGCACATTTCAGTGCAATATTTTTACAGATTTTTTTAAACAGTGTATACAGTATAATTGTTTTATTAAGCTGAGATATAGCACTATAAATTCTTAATTCATTTGCAACAAAACTATAAAGTTTTGTTGCAAACGGATGAAGACATTAGTATTCTCAGCTCAGCCCAACACTGAATATTAGATTGTGGGCGTTGTATTTTGATTAATAAAATAAAAATGATTAAATTACCCCTGCTTCTAAATAAATAGAGCAGTTATTTTTATTTAGTTAAAAACGGGCCAAAAGAGACCTCCGAACTAGTAGGCTAACAGAAAGGGGGAAAAAAAACCTTAACGTTTTTGCTCAGAATTTCTTTTTTAATCCCTGCGTGATTTGTCATACATGATAAATATCAAAAAGAAAGAGAAACATCAGAAAATAGGCATATTTTATTCAAGAAATTACTATATGACATCAACATGCATTTATCATTCTTACAATAGCTGCCAGAATGTCCAACTTCACCATGATGAACTTAAAATTGGGTTCTATTATTTCTCCTCAACAGTTCTCCTCACAAAATGAAATTCATTTCAAACACAAATTTTATAAGAACAGAGTGGAATCAGAATGAGCTTTATTGCCAGGTATGTTTACACATACGAGGAATTTGTTTTAGTGACAAGCTCCACAGTGCAACAGAATGACAGTGACAAGACAGGACAGGTAATAAAAAGAATAATATACAAATATACAAAATAGACAATAGGGCTGCACGATATATCGAAATATCGCAATATGCATATCGCAAAGGCGTGCGATATCTGAATCATTTTAATAATAGGCTACTTAAATCAAAACGTTGCAATAGGTCAAAGTTTTAGTTCGACGCATATAGCAGAGAATTGCTTGACGTTAAAAAGTTAAGTGCAATAAGTTGCAGAAAACAACTCTTTGCCGTCTCGTCTTGCTGCCTGACTCACACCTGAAGCGCGTGCACAAGCCGCATCTCGCACAGCGTATCTTCCGTTCTGCCGCACACGTGCAAATCACGAGCACAGAGAGACGCGTTTCAGCCGGCACGCGGACACAGAGTTGATTCGTCTTTCGCATCTCCTCATGTTTGAACAGACACAAACACACAGAATTGTCAATAGTACCCATCTCGACGATCATTCTCGTAAACGCAGTCGGTTATGTTTTACATGAATATAAACAGCTGAGAAAGAAATGGGATGTGTATCATTATACTGGATCCGTGCAGTCGGATTTAAAGGGACAGCAGCCTATAAATACGTGCTGCTGAATATGTCACTAATGTTAACAAAACAACAAAACTGCTATAACAAAGATTAATCTAAATTTAATTAATACAGTGAGCACTATGCAGTGTTATTTTACACTTAATTATTAAATTTCTGTACCTGAATACTACTGTTTATTTGATCTATTCTTGTAAATTGTGTATTTCTTTTTTTTCTTTTTCTTTTTTTTTACTGACTGTTCACTTGCCTTTAATCATGTTTGAACTTTCTCAGACTATAGTTTTTGCTGTGGTATATGAAGTACTTAAAGTGTATGGAAAGCAAAGTTACAATAATATAACATTTGTGTCATTCATTTTTTTTGTTTGTATGTTCACACTGATGTTAAAATGACATTTTCTGAACTGTGACGTTACTTTTTATGTAATGCTAAAACACTGCTGGTCACTTTCAGAAGTTGTAGTGATTCTTTCTTTTCCAAGAAAGAATGTGAAACAAATTGGTTATATAATTTTCATTTTTAAATATTTTTAAATATAATTGAAATTGATTTTACACCCTTTAAGCAATATCGTATCGCATAACGCTTTTTTCAATATCGCACAGCCCTAATAGACAATGTACAAAATGCAAAGACGCTAAATATAATATAGACAATTAAGTATGTACTGGTATGATATGTGCAAATTTGAAATGTAAAAAAGTATGTGTTAAATAAACAAATGTATAATAGTGTTATGTGTTCCACGTTTATTGTCGAGTGTTCATGAGATGGATTGCCTGAGGGAAGAAACTGTTCCTGTGTCTGGCCGTTCTGGTGCGCAGCACTCTGTAGTGTTGACCAGATGGCAACAGTTCAAAGAGGGAGTGTGCTGGATGTGAGGGGTCCAGAGTGATTTTGCCAGCCCTTTTGCTCACTCTGGATGAGTACAGTTCTTGGAGAGTAGGGAGGGTTGTACCAGTGATTCGCTCACTGGTACAGTGATATTAGCAAACCGCGTTCAGTTTTTAATTGTAGTGTCTGTTCTTTTACTGAACTAAATTATTTTTATTTCTATAAAAAATCAAAACGACGGTGGGGGTGGGGGTCGGTGCCACAGTGGGCAAGTGACGTAACCGGTGTTGCGGCTTAACACCAGTATAACCATTAGCACCGTCTATCGCGGCAAGCCTAGTGCATACGGACATCTATCTGACTGCTAAGTAGTGATTGTGTTTTTCAGCAATAGTGTGCAACCCTTAATTTACAGAGAAAAGAAGGTCTGGGAAAAATCTGTAGATGGAAAAATCCACATACAAGTTCTTTGTGCATTTTTCTTTTTTTCTACGTGTTACTTTGCACTTTTTGTTAGAAAATGTTTATTTACTATTTATTCAGGTTTTTTTTAAAGGTATCTAATATTTTGATACTTAATTTCCATGATCTAAATATTCTTAAAAATGTAAAGTTTGTTGTCATTTGGAAGTGTGTAGGCCTTCTTGCATTATTATGCTGTTACATTATGATTATATATTCTGTCACATAAAATGGCTTTTAAAATGACAATAATATCGCTTATCACAATTATTTCTGGCGCAATATATCGCACAACAAAAAGTTATCGTGACAGGCCTAATAATAGATGGCACTCGTGGTGGTAGTTAAACAAAGTTATATTTATTGAGTTTAAACGTGAATGTCTATGAAAGATTGTATTACTGTACTGTGATAAAAGAGAATCACAATGCTGAAAAAGCATTTTCAGAAACAACGTTTGGATTTGAAATCAAAATAATGGATAAATGTTGTGTTTGTGGTAAACGGCCGCGGATCAGGAGCGGACTGCAAACGCGTCCTGTGCGAAAGCAAAATGAGTCCGTGCTGCTTCTGCACCGCATACACATACTGTATACGCACTGCAGACGGAGTACGTGTGAACTTGGCGCAACGAATCTAGTTTAACATCTGAGGCAACGCCACAAAGAGCTCTATGACCAATGCATGGCAAAAAAAAAAAATCCCTGGACACAGGATTTTTTTTTTCTGCCATATGTCTATTCTAGAGACATTTTGTTACACCTTTACTTAGTGATTATTTAGCCTTATGTCTGTTCTAGAGACATGTTACTGCTTTTTGATAAAGCTCTATCAAATTCACACTGAATGCATTAATGACTGTGAAGCATGTCTGTGTGTCAAAATCATGATTAAAATCGAAATCGCAATATTGATCAAAGAAATCGCGATAGGTTTTTTTTTTTGTCCATATCGCAGAGCCCTAATATAAATCAATGGTCTTTTTCCTTACCTGTGGAATGAATATTTGCTTTGTGTGGTTTGTAGCAGTGACTTACCTAGTTTTACTCGCTTTTTTTCTCTCTCTGTCATTTGTTGCTATAGTGTTGAATAGCAATGAACTATGAAGCTTCATGTCCTCAGAACTTTTGTGGCACAGGTTTTTTAAGGATGCCTAAAACGCAACATGCTGAAGCTTGTTTTTCAGTGTGGCTCTTTGATCCTCAGATTAGGCTGGTCAGTATAGATTTTCACCAGGATAGTTTTAGCAGCCATGTGGCGAGGCCTAGAGAAAGAGGAAAATTGGGGGTTGGGTGAAGGAGAAGCCAGATGGGAGGAGTTTGAGACGGGGGTGGAATTTTTTTTCTTGTGGGGTAGTTGAAATTGAGGCGGCACATTCTTTGCCAACCCCCCTCTCATACATACGTAACACCTCCTACATGTGCATATTAACTCACTAATTCATATACACACATGGAGGTAGTTGTGGTTGAGTAGGACATCTTAGCAGGCTGCATTTTCCCCACCCTTGCCCGGTTTATCTCACATCTACATAATTCCCCCTGCTCATCTGATTATCTCACACTTGGGACAAGCTAGTTAGGTATGCAAAGTGTATATGAATTTGCATGTAACTCATACTCTAAAATGCTTCAGAAACTCAAAAATGCAGCCGGCAACAGGGCTGGTTTTAAGACTTGGCATGAGCAGGTGGGCTGCCTGCTTGTGTTCCTACATCTGCCTGCCTGGTCTGGCAGCTGCTGTTGTTTAACTACCACTGCTTCTTCTGCTGCCTCACTCTAAACTCCTTTGTTCTTTCCCCACCATCAATGAATTGTAAAGATTGAATGAATTTAAGTTTGGTGCCTGTGTGTATTGGCCCTTTTGTTTGGAAGCAGAAGGAACAGAGGGTGGGGACTGGGATCAAAGGTTGGCAAAGAGTCAGTTACAACTGATTTAACTGCAAAAAAAACATACAAAAAAATAACTGTCTCACCACCGTTCAACTGTTCTTGTATCACTCAACAGCTTTGACTCACTGGCTGAAAATTTAACAGAGTGGTTAAAGTTAACATAATGGAAGAGGCTTGCTCTCACCTAGAGCTATTTGTGTTAATGCTCCCTCTCTCTCTCTCCCTTCCTCTCCAGGTCCTGTAACCTGACTTTGCCTGACGCTGCGTTCTCTGAGAGAATTAAGGAAATATGGAGTGACATGCTGCAGATTAGTTAGCGGATTAGCGGCTTTGAGGACATCCACCTCTGTGTGAGCACACATTCCCTGTCCTGCTTCTGAAGCTCGGCTGCACAGCAGGAGCGCTGCAGCCATGGCTGACCCAGGTATGATTAGCCTCTTTGGAGATGATGGGAATCTGTTCTCGGATGAGTTGGAGGGCCTGGGGGACTGTGGCTACCCCCAAGGTCAGGCAAATCCCATGAGTCAACAGATGCCCCATGAGCACCAAGGCTACGGGCAGCTCCCCTCTTCTCTTCACCTCTCCTCACCTGCTGTACCTGGACAGGCCAAGCTTGGCCACCATTTTGACCACTTCAATCAGTATGAGCAGCCCAAGATGCATCCAATGGACCAGCAGGGGGGCCGGATGATGGGGAACGGACCAGTAAATGGCATGTCCCCTCATTCCCGCTATCACGGTCCTCCGCCTGGTGCGGGAGGGTCTGCAGGGCATCATGTCTACCCGGGAGCACAAGGAGATGGACTGAGCCAGTCATTCCCAGATGGCAGAAATGCGTGGGGCGCTCAAGCAATGCAAGTGCCCGATCAAGCTAGACCCACTTTCCAGCAGCAACCACCACAAGCCTCGTCTCATCAGCACGGCCCTGCCGGACCACAAGGACATGCCCACCAAATGGGCCCTTTTATCGGCCGTGGTGACTATGGCATGCAGGGCCACAACCAGACCCAAACGCCTCCCAGAATGAACCACTTTCCCCAAGGCCTCCCTCAGGAAGCCAATCACTTCATGGGTCAAGTGGGGATGACTCAGAATCCTGGCATGTCGGGACCCCCCATGCGTCACCCGGCACAGCCTCCTCAGCAGCATCAGCAACCCAATCAGCAATTTCTCCACAGGCCTGGCCAGGGTCCGGTTCATCCGGAGACTGTCGCCAGCCACAACCCACAGTTCCCACAAAGCCCTTCACGGCAGCAGCAACAACAGCAGCAGCAGCAGGTCATGGGCGGAAGACCCCTCCAAAACATGGGATATAACATGCACAACCAGCAAGTCCCTTCCAACACTGTAAACAGCTCAGGGCAGTACCCTCCCTATCCTTCGTACGGCAACCTTAATCAGGGATTAGCCAACACTTCAGGGATGAGTCCCAATTTGAGCCTTACCACCAGCAGCAACAGCAACCCTAATGCTACCGTGACCCTGGTGCAGCGCTACCCTGTCCCGACAGGGCCCCAGCACTATCCAACACCTGGAGCTCAACAGGGACCAATGCACCAGCAGCCCATTCTTGTGAACCAAATCAACACCCAGCCTATGCATCCAACTCAGAACCAGGCTACAGCCCAGCAGAAGCTGCAGCAACAGCATTTACCGCCTCCACCTCAGGGATCATACGCCTCGCCTCCTTCCATGTCGCCCATGAGGAACCTGGCTACCACTGCAGGCACCCCTCCTCCCCAGCAGGGCCGCCCACCCAGTGCAGGTTTGGGAACTGATGTGGGCGGCTACCCCGGCGTGCCGCATCAATCTCAAGGCCCAATGGCTCATGCCCAGAGAGGAGCCTGCCCCATGAATGCAGCTCAGCAGCATCCCCACCAACAGCTGCCATCACATCCCTCACACCCACATCCTCCACCAACCCAGATGTACGCTGCTTTGTCACCTAGTCACAGGGCCACGGGCGCTCAAGGAAGACCTCCAGCAGGACCGGGTGCGAACCACACAGAGCCGCAGGACCAGAGGCTGCTTGCCCAACAAGCCCAGCGCCAGCAGCTGCAGACGCCCCCATTGCCTTTCCAGCTGCAGCAGGTGCACACCCCTCCCTCGATTCCCCTGTCACAAACACAGCAGGCATGGGCACCTCCTCACCAGTCGCCTCCACCCATGCAGAAAGTGCCTCACATGCAGGTGAGTTGTGCAAATGAAGCATGCCTTCCATTGCCATTAAAAGTTTTTTGGAAAGTCCATGTTGTGCACGTGGGTGGCAGTAGGCCCATTTGAGGTTTTCTCATACCAGCTATGGTGCCGCCTGTGCCCCACAAGTGTGAAAATGGATTTTTACAGCTGTTTGTTTCCTCCTCGCTGCATATCCTGGCCCTCCCCAAGACACAGGCGCCACAGTGCTAATCTCCTAACCCCCACCCCTCCCCCCCTTCCCACTCTGAAGGGGAAATGCTCCCTTCCTGCTCGCAGTAACCATCACACTCCTCCCCCGTCTGCACTCCTTCCGTTCCCCTCTTGCTCTTGCTCAGTCTGTGTCTGCATAATTTCTGTCTCTCTCTCACTCTGCTCTTTCTGTTTGCTTTGCCTGTCTCAGAGGACTCATGCGTGAGTTAATGGCGTACAGCAGGATGCCTTCTGTTGGGAGGGTGGTGGAGTTAGCCAGTGGGAAAGGGAGGTTAGCAGCTCAATAGCTGCGTGTGTCACGTGCTTCTGATGCCATTAGTTTGTTTTGCTCTGAAAGCCTCTTTCTCTGGTGACCCATTCACACACAATGGCTGCTGTTATTCCAGCATGCACATCCTGCACATAGCATTTTTATGTCTCTTTATCTCACTCATACCACTGTTGACAACCATGGCTCAATGTCAGTGGTGGTGTCTGGCTGATTGTGTGATGATATATAGTTTTGTGGTTGACATTTAAGATCAGTCAGTATTAATTCATACACCTCAATTGTGACCTAGATGAAGCGCATAGACTTAAGTCGACTGCTTTCACTGTAGCTAATAAGCCATCTTGTTTTTGTGCCAATCATGAATTGCCTAAAGACATTTAATCCTAACATCTTTTCTATCTACTATGGTGTGATTTGATTTGAAGTTGGCATGAAATAAAAATTCAACCTATTTTCTATATGTTGCTGATCTTGTTAATCGCACATTTTTTCTGAAATTAATCATGATTAATCGCTATGGAATTGTTGTCTCTATGAATTGTCTCTGAACTCTTTACCTTTTCTGACTCTCTTCAGGTCTTGAAGTCTCTACTAATGAGCTGACTAGTTGAATCGGGTGTGTTAGATGAGGGAGACAGTTCTGGGCTGCTCCAGGAGAGTTTTGAAAACCACTGCATTTCAGAGACATGTTCTTAAATGTAACTCATATAACAAATACTTGCATGCACAGTTTTAAGGCAGCTTTAATTGCCTTTTGAGGTGAAGTTGGACTGCGTGAAGACATTCTGCATCTAAATAAACAGTTCTTGTCAAGAAAAAAGACAGATTCCGCAGTTGGGAGTGAGGTTGCCAACCCTAGATCCACCCCTATATTAATTGCATTAAATATAGGGATGAAACGATTAGTCGACATTAGGGATGGGTGATATCTTATTGTTTGCGATATACCGTTAAAAATTCTCCCCACGATAAGAATTAGTCTTCCGCGATAATAATGATAAAGTCTAGTTGTTGGCATATTTCTGTGTGCGACAGTGCAGAGCGACATGAAAGGCGGATGTGAAATTGAGGAGTCTATATCGCTAAATGAGGAGCTCGAGCTCCTTTTACAGTCTGTAACTGGTTTGGTTGGGGCTGTACAGTGCACAAAAAATCGGTCTGAATGTACTACAGTAGCACGTGTGCGATACAGTTTTGTCCAGCAAAGATATAATTTATTGACATGCTTTTTCTCCAAATTAACTTAACATAGTCGAGTGTATGAAATACTTCTTTTTGTGACCAGACGGGGTTTCATATTACAGAATGATAGTATTATATACAGTGATAAAGGCCATGTCGATTAACGTTGCATTATAGATATACTTTCCTTTATAAAAATACCCAAGATTGAAGAACACAGATAAACCATATATTTTGTGCAATCTTATGTTTATTTTCCTCAAGTTTCATCAGTTAAAATGTCTCTATCTCCGTTGTGCGTTTTATTCAGCGATAACTGGATACCTTCCTGGAGCGTCGTCAGTAGGGATGGGTATCGTTTACATGTTATCGATACCGTTACTTATCGATACTGTTATCGATACTATTTGGTGCAAAAAAAATATGAAGTGAAAAGTTGTTGAAAATTTGAAAGTTATTTTATTACTGCTGAACTTCAGCAACTGTATTCAGTGCTTCCCACACATAGACTTTACCTGGGTGGGCTGCCCAAGTATATATGGAGAAACATTTTTGCTTTTATTATTTTTATCCTCATTCTTTTTTTATCCGCCCGAAATAATGAAACCATCCGCGATCGATTAACTAGTGGAAAATCTCCCCTTGCCCTACACGTTTCGTATCTGCTCGTTCTGTGCGCGCGAGAACTGTTTACTCATGCTGACGTTCCCATGTGCGCTGCAGAGATGCAGCGGATATTTCACAAAGACACGGCTCGACAGTGCGGGCGCTTCAGTCGCAAATAAAAATAGATGTGCGCGAACTGTAAAATGTATTTAAGGAGCACGTGTGCGAATAAAGCAAAATCCCTCCGGGTGAGTTTTCTTAAATTGAATGTCATAAAATTCTTCAATACATGAAATGGTAAAACAAACGTCTTAATTATCATTTTAGCTCGCTTAACAATGCTTCAGACTGCTTCAAAGTGATTCTCAATCAATGAATAGTGCACATTTATGCCAAACGATTGTCTCTCTCGCTCTCTCTCTCTCTCAAATTACGCAAATGGATTCAAATCACCACACATCGCGTCTGTCTGTAAGCAGCTGCACAGTTGACACAGGAATTGTCACTTGCATAGTCGAGGCAGTGTCACATCGTCACTAAAGTTGATATTGCATTTCTTTTTAATTCTTGCCAGTGTTTAACCATTCAGTGCTCGCGCGCTCTCCTGGAGACTGTGCGCTCATGCACACTCACAGCGCACACACATAATGCCAGGTTCACATTACTCCGTTTGCAGTGCATAGTATTTTTTCCGCTCTCATGTTTACGGATTAAAGTTACTAGTATCAGTAAAATCTGTGTCCCATTCACTGAGAGAGACACTATATGACAAAGTAAGGAGAACTCTACCATTTAAATGCTGTAATTTTGCATAATTTACAATGCATATAATAATGCATAATATTAGTATGTAATTAAATGTAATAGTAGCCTATGCAATTAAAATGAATTTCAATAAATTAAAATATTGTTAAAAATCACACATTATTTGTTATTTTATCACATGTAGTAGACCATTTTTGTGCCGTGGGTAATAGGTAGGGTTGAGTATCGTTTGAATTGGGTATCTCGCTCTCGCTCTCGCTCTCTCTCTCAACCTTGTGTGACACGTAATTTCACAAACAGCGTGAGTGAATCACCGTGCATGCTTTCTCTTTCTCTCCCAAAAATACGCAAATGGCTTCAAATCACCACACATCACGTCTGTCTATAAGCGAGCTGCACACTGCACAGTTGACACAGGAATTTTCACTTGCACAATCGAGGCAGTGTCACATTGTCACTAAAGTTTATAAATTGCATTTCTTTTTAATTCTTGCCAGTGTTTAATCATCAACGCTCACGTGCTCTCCTGGAGACCGTGCACTCATGCACACTCGCAGCGCACACACATAACGCCGGGTTCACATTACTCCGTTTGCAGTGCATACGTGGTGTGTATTTTTTCCGCGCTCATTTTAATGGATTAAAGCGTTCACTGCACAAGGTTGCGGTCCGGCAGTGTGTTCAGGAGCAGTGCGTCTGCAGCACTGCAGAGATAGTTTCTGCACCGAGTCTATTGCTGTGCTGAATTAAAGTAACTGCGCATTGTTTGCAGTAAATATTAACATGGATTGACACGAAAATGTAGTAATTACATCATAAATGCATATTATTAAAGTCTACCATGTTCCACAGTCAACACATATGGCTTTTTGGCTAGGTT